AAAATCAAATAAAGTTAGAGCTGGGAGAGATCTTAAAAATGACATGGTCTAATATCATCATTATTATAGATGAAAAGACACACAAATGAAATGGCTAAGTGATATAACCCATGTAAATAAAGATGACATGCTCTAATATCTTCATTTTATAGAAGAAAAGACACATAAATGAAATTTCTAAGTGACATAACCCATGTACATAAACCTGTGAAAGATTCGTATAATGGAAATCATTAGCACAATTAGTAATTCAAGGACTGGTCTTTAGAAGTTGTAACTATAATTAAAAAGAGATTATGGGGACCAGCAGTTAGCATAATGGCTATGTCGCTGGACTCCCATGTAGTCGACCACGGTTCGCGTGTCGGACCCGGTGGCTTAAGCTCACACTGGGCGCGTGTGCGTGAGTGCCCAAGATCCCGAGAGGAGAATGGAGAAGGGATTGCAGCATGGCCATTCCCCCTGAGGGGTGATTTCTCGCTTTCTGTCTCTCCGTCTCTGTCTGTCTGGGGAGCGCACATGCCCTATAGCAAAAACCTCTCCAAAAAAAAAAAAAACAAAAGAGATTATGGATAATATATAAAATAGATAGTAGAAAATTGTAGATTAAAACTAAGTCCCTATAAAGGGAGAGAAATTCACCTAGATAAAACTATTACCTCCAGGAAACATCTTCAAACCATGAAGAAGATATTGACAATTTAGGGTTCTTTTTTTAAGAATTATTTTATTTAACTTTATTTAGGAGTAGTAGTAGTAGTATTTTCCAGTTTGATCAGACGGAGAGAGGGAAAGTGAGAAAGCAAGCCACCAGGTCCAGGACTTGAACCACAACTGACCATGTGAGCGTCCAGTGCCTCTAACCATGCCACCTGCTGACCCCAATTTTTTTTGGAGAGGTTTTTGCTATAGGGCATGTGTACTCACCAGAATGAGAGAGACAGAGAGACAGTAAAGAGACGGAGAGACAGAAAAGAGAAAGCACCTCCCCAGGGGGCCTGGCCATGCCGCAATCCCTTCTCCCCCATTCTCCTCTCGGGATCTTGGGCATGCGCACACATGCGCCTGGCATGAGTTTAAGCCACCAGGTCCAGGACTCGACCCATGGTTGACTACATGGGAGGCCAGTGACATAGACATTATGCCAACTGCTGGTCCCCCAATTTTTTTTTCAATCAGAAAAATAACCTACTTTAGATCAACAAGATTGGTTATTTACTAACTTGAATATTTGATAAAGTGACAGAATAAAAAAACAAGTTTTTGCACTGCATCCTCAACCTGCCCATCTGTCATAATCAGATCCTCTTCATTAGGAATGTTTCCTTCAAAACTGCCAACCAGTCATGTCCTACTGGCAAAGCAAGATTCCCTGGGGACCTCAAGACATACAACATATGAGACCTTTTAGCCAAACACAGCCATTTCTAGTCTTTCATTTTTCCCTTACTTGTAACCCTCATCCACCAGAGCATGAGATCTAGCTTGTAGGAAGTGTCTCTGGGCCTGGACTGAATGCCACACACCAGAAATCGGCACCACGGTGTGGACAGCTCCTGGAGATGCCCTCGGTTCTGGCTCTAGAAGCATAACAGAGATTCCTAGTGCACAGACATGGGACTCCTCTTTTTCCTCTCTCCTTTTTCTTTCGTTCCCCTCTCCCCTCTTCCCTTTCATTCTCTCTTTTCTTTCTCTGTCCTCCCTTCATCCACATTCCAGTCCCCAGTAATTGTATATGGCCCATAGAAGCCAAAACAATGAGGGAGGGAGGCCTTCCTCTCCAGTCAGTGGTACTGTCATTCCTAAAAGCTCGGGACAGTGTCCAGTGCTTCTTTTGCTTCTATGTCCTCTCTGCTTGGCCAAGAGGTGGGCAATACCTTGGAGGCACATGGGAGAGAAAGTTGGTGTTTGTTTGTTTGTTTGTTTTTTGAGAGGTTTTTCTCTATGGGGCGCGTGCGCTCGCCAGACAGAGAGAGACAGAGAGATAGAAAGCGAAAAATCACACCCCAGGGGGGATGGTCACGTCACAATCCCTTCTCCTCCATTCTCCTCTCGGGATCTTGGGCACATATGCACACGCGGCTGGCGTGAGTTTTAAGCCACTGGGTCTGGGACACGAACCGCGGTCGACTACGTGGGAGTCCAGCGACATAGCCATTACGCTAACTGCTGGTTCCTGGGAGAGAAAGTTTTTGGCAAGAGACTTAAAAACGGTCCCAGGGAACCATAAAGTATCAGGGTGAACACAGAGAGGAAGGAGCTTCAAAAAGCCACTCATTCAGTTTCCTTATAAATTTCCTAGGTTTCCCCCAGGCTGTGTAGTACACATGAATCTGATACTAATTAGCATACCAAAACTTGGAGAACTCCACCCCAGTGTCAGACTGATCACTGGGTGACACCCACAGGACACAGCCAAATAGTACTGTCAAAGTTTTAAAAGCTGGATTGACATAGGAAGCATAGCCTCAGAAAATCAACTGTGAGATGGAACCAGCAGCCTCCTAAAATAAAATAGCACCATTCTCCATAGGATTTAAATACAACCCGAACTCTCTGATATAATATTCAAAATGCACAGGCTACAAGACAAAATTCCTTGGCACATGAAAAATCTCAATTCCCATGGAAAAGATAGTCTAACACTGTAATGACACAGATTAAATAACAACTTTTACAAAAAAGTTCTAAGCAGCCATAATGAGCACGGCTGAAACCAATAGAAAAAGAGACTCTCAGCAAAGAAATAGATGATATGGAAGAGCCACATGGAAATATTGGCATTGAAAAATGCAATAATAGGTTCAATAGAAGAATGGAGATGACAGAGGAAAGAATGTCATGGACAAAATCAACTTTCAGTTGGAGAGCTACGGATCACTACTTTTTTGTGTAGCTTTCCTTGTATTTTAATTAAATCTGTGAGGACTTCAAAGAGTTCATGGAAATGTGCAGTATAAAGGGAAAAAATATGCTTGGATTTCTAAATTTGTGGCACTAAACATACTTTATTCTATTTTCCACAAAGTTTCTGAAGTACCTGCATATTACTGTATAACAAACTACATAAAAATGTAGCAGCTCAAGAGAGCAATTTATTTGTTCTCTGAATTCTGAGGAAGGGCCAAGAAGTTTCTCTGCTGGTCTTGCTTGGATTTGCTCTTGTTTCTGAATTCAGCTAAAAGGTCAATTGGACTAGAGGGCCCAAGATGGCCTCGCTCTCAAGTCTGGCAGTCGGTGCTGGCTGTTGGCGGGAGTTTCTCAGTTCTCCTCTATCAGACTCCCATAGAGTGGCAGTCAGAGTTCCCAGAGGGTGAGCAGAAGCCACAAGCCACACAACATCACCTCTGCCATAGATATAGATATAGCTATAGATGTAAATATATTTTTTAATTTGCCAGAGAAAAACATAAAAGGGGGAGAGGGAGAAAGCACCCTCCACAAGGTGTGGTCATGCTGCAATCCCTTGTCTTCCATGTTTCAATCCTGTCAGAGTTTTGGGTATACATGCACATGAGCCCAGGGTGCTTTTCAAGCTACTGGGGCAGGTATTCAAACCATGTGGTCAGCCATGTGGGATTCAGCACCCCTACCCATAGGCCACGAGGTTAGTGTCATATCTGTTTGATCAAAGCAAGTCACAAAGCCAGCAGAGGTCAAGTATAAAAAGCTAGACTCCTCTTGAGGAGAGGAGCGGTCACATGACTATTGATTCAGGGAAGTACCGTCATCAGGATCACCATTTCAAAGTCCTACCACATCCTTTCTGGGGAATTAACGTCACAAAACTCCAAGACTAGGAATCTACGATTATTACGGCAGTAGGACAGACTGTGAGGCTCAGAGAAGCTTAGTGTTTGCCTAAGATCACACAGCTAATTCACGGAGAATATAAAACCAGATCCTAGTGCTGCTGATTCTCCTGACCAGTACGCTCGCCTCTGAGATGAGCTGCTTAGTATTTGAACACTTTGGTAGAAAAAAAAAAATGGACAATAGTTGTAAAATGTGTTAGCAATCATTCACCATTCAGATGCATTTTGTGAAGGAAATAAATGCATGCACTTGTGGAATCTATGAAAACAATTCAAGTAGAGCGTCTCATGAAGAGCTTTTCATTATGTAGCTATAAAGCCCCTAACCTGTTCTATACACCGAAACAGTGCAGTCAGTCTCTTGAGTTCTTGGCACTCAAAACTTAATTTCTCTATTGAGGCAAAATTCACATAACATCGAATAACCATGAACTATTTTAAAGTGTACAATTTAGTGTCATTTAGTACATTCATCATGTTGCACAATCATTTCCTCTATGTAGTTCCAAGACATTTTCACACCCCAAAAGGAAACTCTGTCCCCATGAAGCGATCGCTTCCCCTTCCCTATGTCCCCATCCCATTCCTGGCAACCACAAGTATGTTTTTGTCTTTATGGATTTGCCTATTCTAGATGCTTCTTGTAAATGGAATCATATAGCCTTTTGTGACTGGCTTGAACACTTAGCATGGTTTTGAGGTTCATCCACATTGAATCATAGAGCAGCATTTCATGCCTTTTTAGGGATAACATACATATGAACAACATTCATAATGTTCTTTTCTGTGGCTAGAATACATTTTTTTTTTAATTCAACAACTGATGGGTGTTTGAAATGTTTCCATTTTTTGAAAGCTACTGAGAATAGGACCGGCTGCGACCATTTGTGTACAAATATTCGTTTGAATACCTGTGTCCAGTTCCTGCGGCTATACAAGGGGTCTTCAACAAATTAATGGAAAATATATATTATGAAAAAAAATCCCTGGATTAAAATTGTTTTTAGCACCAAAATAAACTTGTTCTTCAATCTTATTTTTTACGTGAAGATTTGAGATCGCCGCATATAGCTAGAAATGGAATTTCTGGGTCATCTGCTAATTCTATCAAAGCTTCATTTTTATTCTGGTCCTGACAAGGCTTTTGAAAATGGTATGGGAATAATAACCTGCTGCCAGCATCACCTTTTCTCTAAAGTCAACGTGGTTCTGGATGATGGCTCTGTGGTAAGTGGCCGTCCTCACAAAATCTTGCATCATGTTCTGCTGCTGGGCAATGCAGCCGTAAAACTGTAAGGGAAAGAGGAGGAGGGAGTGAACAACCCACAAGGCAGTACCTTCCTGAGCATCTGGTTCTCACAACCACCTCAGACAAGGTAGGCATAGCCTTTCACACAACGGGTAGCTGAGGCCAGGAGTGGCATGGTGACCCATCCACATTGGCCCTGTTTGTAGGGTAGAGAATTTTAAGTAATGCTCATGCTTCTGAGGCCAGCTCCATACAATAAAATCAGGCCTAGATACTGACAGGATAAGTTCCAAGGGCCCTTTTCCAAGTAGAGGCTAGGAGAGAGCCCAGAAAAAGAATACTAACGTTAAGAGTAACAAGGGGCCAGGGCCAAACAGGATGGCCTGCCTCAATGAGCCTCATCAGCCTTGAGTATGAAAGAGAATTTGCATAGAAATCCTGTTTAAGTGTGGGAGTGAGAAAGAAAATAGTGAGGGTGGTGATTCTGGTGGAACCAGGTGGGCCAGTTGAGCAGGGTGGAGCATGAAGCAAATCCATGAACATTGACAGTATTAAGTATCATTGTAGTTGCCACACTTGGTAGAACTTCCCACATGCCAGGAACCATGCTAAGAGCTTCATTAGGCATCATCTAGTCACATTAAATCATCACAACCATCTGATGAAGTGTGTTCCTCAGCTGAAGAAACTGAGTCTTGGGAAGATAACCACAACTTGCTCAAGTCCTGACAACTTATTATGTGGCAGAGTGGGGATTTAAGTCCAGGTAATGTGGGGACCATGCTTTGAGCACCACTGCAGTAGAACCAGGTGTGTTCACAGGTGCATGCCGCCTTAAAACATAGCAATCAATTCCACTTGTGGCAACTTTCCTGACCTGGAAGTACTGCACAGCAGACGCCTTTTCTGTCCTCTGGCTGAACACTGAGAACTCCTTTTTCTGATTCCAGCATCTTTTCAAGGTATTTGAAAATGCATTGAATTCTGCAAGAAGAAAAGAATAAACAGCAGATCCATTTCTTCACCTTGGAAACCACAGAACTCACCATTGCACTCCGTAAAAATTTCCAACTGTAAAAATGTTAGAAGACAACACAGCACATTCATCCCTGAATATGTGCATGATGAGAAACAGCAAGGTGGAAATGGGTCCTACTCTGAGGTGCAACACCCTTATTTATACCTGCCAGACATATTTGCATTCAGAAATGTCAAGCATGAGAGCACAATGGAATGCAGGCTGAGTCTGGACTCCTTGAGTTCTCCAAACTGTGCTCACAAAGCCCACAGACTTATACTCAGTGTATGGTTCACGGAAGGTGACTGTTGATGATTAGAAAAAAAAAATACATCTGTGGAGACACACACATGCACATGCACACACATGTATGTGTGTGTATATATATATATATATATATATACACACACACACACACAACTTCATCCTATCATTATACTAAACAGTTTTTAAATCGTCCCTTAAGTATTCTCTAGCTGTATAGAGAAAAGATAAAATAACTGGTATGATACATGAATAATATGTGAATACAAGAGAATATTCTCTATGTTTCCTATTATTGGAGGAAGACAAAAAGAAATGAAGGCTCAAACAATTCCAGAAATGGCATCACCGATAGACTAACATGCGAAGTTGACACATTCTGTGCCTTCTGCCTCAGAAATGTTGCTTGGATCCTGCCCAGTAATCTCCATTGCCTTTTGGCCTCTTGGCTCTCCACCACAGGCACTGTGACCAGGTCCCTCCCTAAAGCCCAAATACTCACACAATGTGGGCTCATGATAAGCTCTGCCCACTCATTTTCCAGATCCAACTTCTCAGGTTCCTTTCTGTCCCTTCTCAAAGTACCCTCTACGCCCTCTTTTCCTGAATACTCTCACTACAAAGAACACTTACAAATTCCCAGATCATCCTGGTCTTGGCCAGGCTTCTTGACTTTGAACTTCCCATACTTCTGTTAGATTATCTTCTTTTTAATTTTTAAATTAATTTTTATTTATTTAATTTTATTTATCATTGTTATCATTTTTAAATAGCTCCAGGGCACGTGTGCTCACCAGAGAGAGATAAGAGGAGAGAAAGAAAGAGGGAAAGTAAGAAAACAAGCCACCAGGTCTAGGACTTGCACCATGATCAGCCATGTGGAAATCCAGTGCTTTAACCACCATGCCACCTGCTGGCCTTGATTATATTCTATCAAACTTCTTTTCATCCTCCCAGACCCTGCCCCACAAGAATATCTTTACTGCTGTTTCTTAAACATCACAGGCAGAATTCATTGCTGTATTACAGTGCATACCAACAATTGGCTATAGATTAGAATCACGCAGGAGGGTTTTTTAAACCTGTGGACACTAGGCCCTCGCCCTATACTAGATTATTCGATGTTCTGCTGGCAGAGACAAAGCTGCTCTATTTTTTCAGAATCCTCCAAAATTAATTCTCTTGTGTAGCCAGGATATCTCATGTTGTTAGTTTACCACAGTATCTCATACTATAATGAATGTATTTTTTTTAACTCTAGCTCTAAATCCAGGTTTTTTTAAGGGGTTTAAGACTTATTTATCTTTAATCTGCAGAATATAGTGCTAATGTAGCAACCACCCAATAAACAGATCTGAATGTAAATTCAATTAATTAGGAGAAATGACTAATGAACTTGGTGAAACTATATTTAATTGGTGAGGCAGTCCCCCCCATGTGGGGACAGATAAATTGAAAATAGTTCTTGTTGGAAACTAACCTTGGAAACACACATAACCACAACCCCTCCTATGCAAGAGAATGCCACCTACACCAATCTAAAGAACAAGAAAGGGAAGAATTTAAATCAGGAAATATAAATCAGGATTAGATTTAATATGTATCCCAAATACTCATATTTCACCACCTTGTATAGGCAACACCTTGAATGGGCTCATCCCAACTGATAAACCCTCGTTTGGTTCCTGGATCTTTCTTTTATGAAACAGAATGGTTTTTCAGTTAAAAACTTATCTTGGGACCAGGAGGTAGCATAGTGGTTAAGGTGCTGGACTCCCACGTGACTGACCGCCATTCGAGTCCCAGAACCAGCTGCTTGAAACTCACAATGGGCATGTGTGCATGTGTGCCCAAAATCCCAAAAGAAAAATGGAGAAGGGACTGTGGCATGGCCATCCCCCCGGTGGGTGATTTCTCGTTTTCTATCTCTCTTTGTCTCTCCAGCAAGCTCATGCACCCTATAGTAAAAATCTCTCTCTCAAAAAAAAAAAAAAAAAAAGAAAAGAAAAAACTTATCTCTGTTACAAATTTGTCACTTTATCTTTTATAATTATACCCTTATAAAGAAAGGAATGCAAGTGATGACTTTCAAATAACTACAAACCAACTCATGAAATGTAAAATAAACTTGGAAAATGTAAAAAATTAAAAAGAAGAGAATAAAAATAATAATTCCATTATAAAGTGAAAAATTACTGTTAACGTTTTGGTGCATGTTCTTTTGGAGTACGTGTGCATGTAAAAATTTCTCTTATTTTGAATTGCATTATATTATTTTGCAACATGCTCTTTTCATTTAAGATACTATAAATAACTTCCCAGGTTATTAGGTAGTCTCCTTTACCTCACAGTTAATAGATCAAACTTTTATGGATGGGCCATAATACAACCAAATTTCTGTGGTTGGAATTCTATGCCACAACTCAGGTCTATTGTATCAAGATGGTAGGACCTGCCAGCTGTATTTCTAACTGTGTCCTTGGTGATTCTGGTGATAAGGCATTTTTTGAGAACAGCAGTTAATAGAATATGCCAGCATTCATCTAATAAGAATTCTGCATAATAGTAAAAAAAAAAAGTGTTCCTTCAAATATACTCCTATACAAAAAAATCAATACACTAATCAATATTTCTGTTCTCTTGTGACTTTTTTCTTTTGACTGCTACCTTGCAATTTTGTAAAAAAGCAACTTGTCTTTGACTTAGTCATGTAAAGACTAGAAATGCAGAAAGGAAAGTCAGAAAGAGAAAAACAATTCCCAGAATAACCACTAATAATATTTTGAGACTCTTGCAGGAGTCTTTGTACAGTTATATCTATCTCTGTATTATTTACGACAGTATTGAACTCTTTTGTTTTACAACCTGATTTTTCGCTGGACAATGTATTGTTAACTGTTTCTGTGTCATCGCTTTTTACATAGAATCACAAGGTCCTAGCTTCACATCTTGGGACCTTCCTGAGCACATCGCAGCCTGTGTATACCCGAGACTAGGAGGTATATTGCAGTGTGAAGATCCTCTTTGGGATGCCTCTCTCTCCCTTTCTCTCATGAGAAAAATAAGCAAATAAACTTGAAAAGAATCACTCAACTATACATAAAACTATAAAGCCCCTTAATAGTAGTGCCTTTTGCTCTTCTTTCTCCAATGTCTTCTCAGAGGCAACAATGGAGACTAAGTAGACCTAAATTTCAACAATGTTCTTCACTATATTCCCTCAAATTCTAGACTTAATTATTTGCTTACACTTTCTACTGGGAGTCAAAATTACCAACTGTGTTAAACTACCATGTCCTAAATTTGCATTTTTCTCACTTAAAAAGATATTGGGCATTATTTACCCAGCTCCATTTTCCTGGCACCTCTCCAATTCTGTCTGGGTCTTAGACATTGCCAGCAGTGGTTTTTGTCACCCATCTGTGAGTTCTTTGAGTCCTGGGCATCTCTGTTGTTTGGGCTTTCAAAGCCTATGGTAAATTAATTTGTTCAACAAATAGTCTTTTGAATATTCACTACTGTTGCAAGTCTCTATCCTTAGGGGGAAATTTGAGCCTTTAATACAGCCAAAAATAATGGCTGCTTAATTTAATGAATAGGATGTGTGGTAAGCTGAAAAGTATCATTTTTAATTTAAAAACGAAGATTTTGACCTTAAAGTTACCCAGCTGATCTCATGCAGCGCCTCAATTTTCTCCAAAGGCAAATGTAAAAGAGAAGGTCCAAGATGTATGTTACACCCGCTTCCATGAAATATCTAAATAGCCTACAAAATAAATTTTAATCCAGATATGTTAGCTCTACTGTGTTTGAGACAAAGAAATATATATATATATATAATCTTATTACATTATTAACATTGTCTTAGTCTGCATAGGCACCATAACAAAACACCACAGACTGAGTCGCTTAAACAGAAATGTATTTTCCAAGAGCTTTGGAGGCTGGAAAGACCAAGATCAAGTTGCTCAATGATTAGGTTCCTAGGGGCTTTCTTCTTGGCTTGCAGTCACTAGCTATTTAATGAGTCCTACATGGAGAGAGAGAACCACTAATCTCTCTGGTACCTGTCCTTATAAAGACACTATTCTAATAGGACTAGGGTTCCACCTTATGACCCCAATTAACCTTAACCACTTCCTTACTTTAAATACAGCAAACATCCATTGCAGATTAGCATATGAATTTGGAGGGAACGCATTTCAGTCTCTAGCAGATAAAACAATCATGACTTTCTATAAATCTGGCACAGGGACCACATAGGTATGACAAATAAAAAAGAAAAACAAACAAAAAAAGGAACCTTTTTTTTTTTTGAGAGAGAGATTTTTGCTATAGGGTGCATGTACTTGGATGGTTTCTCACTTTTCCTCTCTCTGTCTCTCTCCACACACATCCTATTGCAAAATTTAATTTTTTTAAAAAAAGGAAAGAAAGGGGACCAGCAGTTAGCGTAATGGCTATGTCACTGGACTCCCATGTAGTCGACCGCGGTTCGAGTCTCGGACCCGGTGGCTTAAACTCACGCCGGGCGTGTGTGCGTGCGTGCCCAAGATCCTGAGAGGAGAATGGAGGAGAAGGGATTGCGGTGTGGCCATCCCCTCTAGGGGGTGATTTCTCGCTTTCTATCTCTCTGTCTCTCTCTGTCTGTCTGGCGAGCGCACGCACCCTAAAGCAAAAACCTCTCCAAAAAAAAAAATAA